TGCGTATTCGGATCAGGGGTACTCGGTGATCTCGTAGATGTGATTTGCGGGTGCAGCGGGACGTGAGGCGTGTCAGGGAGAAAGATTGGGAGAAGAGAAAGAAATTGTGCCGCCGCCCGCCTGATGATCGATGGCGGAACAGCGGTCACGCACATCAGAGAAATCGGGAAAATCTGGTTTGACGTTGTGTACATCACAACGGCTCGGCAAGATTGGCGACAGTTCACAAAGCCTTGCAAAGCATTGCAAGGCAGGTACAAAATTTCACAACGGTATAATCCTTCCATCCACTCGGCATAACATCAGGAAAATGTTTTGGGTCTGGCTTGTCTGCTCATCTGGCCGAGTACAGTATGGCTGGTATGAAGATGGCGGTGCTCTAGTCATCCTAGACGGCTATACTGGCTATTTTCTCGCCGCCGCTATAATTTTCACGACACTATAGTAAATTGTGAAATTGGATTCAAGCGGATGTTTTTCAGGAGACAAGCTCGTAGGCCATCATCGTGGGCATGAGCATTAAAAACTCAAAGAACACTTTAGTTAAAAGCAACCTTGCAGACTGTAGTCCCCACAATGTGTGGTATATTTGAAATCAGAGGAAATTACCAGTCATACTAACAGAAAGGCGCAATCAGAATAAGAAGGGAAGGGACGGGGCGCGCCGTTGTCATGCCCCAGCTTTTGAGGAAATGTCGCCAAGTCCATTCAAGCTCCGACATCAAATGACGATCAATGACGCCATACAGTTGGTTGATGCCACGTCGGACGTGGCTTTCTTCCTCCCACTTTCATCCCCCGGCCCTCTCTGTTTCTTAGCCCCCGTGCATACCTTCCAACTTCAAGGATAGCAGTGTCAAGCCTCCCGCAACTTTAAATATCAATGCCCCGAGCTCGTCCTGAGCCGCACGCAAGTTAAGCTGCGCGCAAGTCAAGCCACAAGCAAGTCAAGCGGAAGCTAAGCACAAACCCTCAAGTCCGGCTGCCTTCGCTATTTTCTCATCCTCAAGCACGGGTCTTTCTTGTCTGCTCTTCCACGTTCGGTGTCGCAACTAGACCTACCTTCACATCTTCACAGCGCCACGGTCTGCGAAGAGGCTGCAAAGAGGTCAAGCAGGAGCGCCAAGCAGCCAACACATCTGAAGCTGAGAATGTTCCCCCAGCATCCACCAACAGTCAAGAGCGTCCACACAAGAAGGACACATTTTCAAGAACGGTCGTGCTGTCGCTGCGCCACCGCAGTCCTCTTCGGCGTTGATCGTCGCCATGCACCAGCAGCGTGCTGCCAGGGAGCTGAACGTGTAGATTACCATTGGTAGTCCATTACCATCCTATGCCCAATAAATGATTTTTTAATCCATTTTGCGTGACAATTGAATGCCTACAATCGTCTTCCAGTGGTGACCATGCCTACCTTCCTAATGCAATATATATCCATACAGTACTCGCACATCTTGCAAAGCTCACAATAATTGCGCACATTGACAAAATGGGCACGCTAGAATATGACCTTGTAATGCACCCCACAATAATTGTGAACTTTGTGAGCATTGCGCGCTTTACAACGGCGTTGTAACACCATGTAGAAAATTCCCGAAATCACTGATACAGTGATGGCCATGCTTAAGCGAACTACGCGAGTCGCACTGTTGCATGGTCTCAGTCGCACTGATGGTACTGGGTCGCACTGTCAATCTGGCGACAGTGCGAGTGGCTCAGTCGCACTCGCACCCTTTACGTCATCCCTCATTGAGAAGTATGGGATGGGATGGAAGACGGAAGACGGACTGGGGGAGTGCCAATAAATTTGTTTTCAAAGAGTGCTTGGGATCTTACAAGGGGCGAAGCGTACAGGGTTGGATTCAAGCGCGCAGGCCAGTGGAGCCTGATACCGGTGACATGACATCCAGCCAGACTCCAACAGCCTGCCTTCATTCGGGCACGATGGGACGGCTGAAGACGCTGAGTGTGTAGGGATCGAGCTGGATTTGGGGGGTAGAGCTGTATTCATTTTGTAAACTCCTTTCGAACTGAAGGTGTTGATCAAAGAACCGACGGTTGAAGTGAAGGTCCGGCCGGGATTTGGAGAGCAGAACAAATTAATTGGTAGCAGATGAGCAGGGGATGCAGCGTCTGCTAAAGATAGAGCTGCACGCCGTGCCCGTTGCGACGGTGCTACGCCACCCGTCGAAAGGGTACCCGTACCGTCCCGTTGAAGATTTTTCTCCATCCGCAACGCCGGGACGGTTACGGGACGGGTTGATGCCCTGACCGCCCGTCAGAGAACGGCCGTGACGGCCGTCGAACGGCCCCATCGTTTTTACCTTCAAAATAACTGCTGGAGCCAATATTTTCCGCAAGATGTCTTACATCTTCCCGGAGTATACTCCATCTCATTTCTTCAGATATTAACTTTCTGTGTACCCGAAACCTTCTTTCTGTATAGTGTTCGGCACTTTCCGAACATGATGGCCGAGGTTCAACCACGACTCAATATTTCGCTCCTCATGCCCAAAGGAAGGAGAAGTTGCCCAAAATGCATTGCTAGTCGTGTAAGAGTTCTCATTTGAAGTTCTGGACAAGTGTATTCCTTTATTAAGTGCCTTCTCCCCGCAGTTACAGTTGCTCCCGAAATGGAACTTGCAAGGCAAAATCAACCAAGAGGCTTGAAGGGAGTGTTTAATCAACATTATAGCAGTCTCGTTGCGCTATAACAAGACATTTCAAGGGTTGAAAGAATATTTTCATACTAACATATGGCGGTAGACCCGTTACGGTCGCCGTTGAGGCTCTGGAACTCCCATTCGACGGCCGTCAGATGAACGGCCGAGCCCGTTGCTTACCCGTCATTTCGACGGCCGAGCCCGGCACGACGTGCAGCCTTAAGACAAGGCCGAGCCGTGCCGAGATCGATCACTTCGCTTACTTGACACATCAGAAGCCAGGCCTCTTGACGACATCTCTTGCGGAGGAATCAAAGGCGAATCAAATTTGCTGGCACTGCCACGCCTTTCGCCTCTCCGTTGTGTTGCTTCGAGTTCATTTTTCAATTGTTGTCTTCAACCCTGCTTACTCTCAAAACACTGGCGGTCCGAAATCGGGTTACGAAGTTCGAACGCGTTGAAAGCAAGAGGACAATTATGGAGGCAACAATCCACGGCGTACGGAAGCCGTGGTTGGAGTTACCTGGGTCCGAAACCTGGTTCGGTGTCGGCACGTCAATGTGGGCTGAGTCGCCAAAGAGAAGACCCGAATGCTGAAACCTCTCGAGACGGCTTCCCGGAATTTATACACCTCGTTCTATTTACTGCAGCGTTTCAGACCATGCCGTGAGGAGGGCATCTTCGCCCGCCTATTCAAAACTGTTGTACTATAAAGTGAGGCAGGAAGGGGTCAAGCCAGTCCCATCATCGAAACGCACGCCATGTTTTCTGCTCTCCTTGCCGTCGTGTCCCTTTCCCTCTCCGTCGCTGCCGTCGAAGTCCAGAGCTCCAACCCCGCCTGTACGTCCTCGTCGACCCACGAATGCTATTCGCGACTGACCATGTCGAATCAAATCAGTTTTCAATGCTGGAATCCAGGGCTGTATGGCCGTGGCCGACAACGCGGATGGCGAGCCGCTCATCATCCACAACTGCAACACCGAGAATACCGCAAACCAAGACTGGGACGTGACGTTCGACGTACGGACTCCTGTGGGTCCGCAACAAATCAAGATATTCGGCGACAAGGTGGGATTCCTACTTAATGTTTATGCTAGTGATTGGTCTTCATCTCCGTATTTTCCAGTGTATCGACGTGAAGGACGGCGTCAACGCCGACGGCACGAAGCTGCAGATTTGGTCTTGTATCTCGGGGAGCAAGAATCAACAGTGGATTGCCCAGCCTACGGAAAACACCTTCCAATGGAGCGGCACGGACAAGTGCATCGACCTCTCGGATGGGAAGATTACGGACGACAACGTGCTGCAAATTTGGACGTGCACGGACAATTCCGCGAATCAGAACTGGGCGGGCGCTCCCAACCCCGACACCGAGCAGTGAGCATTTCGTGCGTTTCTTTTTACCGAAACAAACTGAATTTTCCGCAGGCGTGGCGATGAGATCGCCAGTACTATAAGTTGTACGCATATAATCCCTTGTTGTCTTCTGCCCACTCCCAATTGACTGCACCTGCCAATAATCCAGTGGACCCGCCCTACTGCTTCGGCGCGGCCTCGGCCACGGACGGCGCCGAAGTCGCTCTCGTCGAGTGCCTCAACAATGCCGACTTCCACAATACGTTCCCGAACGGCAACATCACCTGGACCATCCCCGTCTCACCGCTCGTGGGCCAGATCAAGACGTTCAACAACCAATTCTGCATCGACGTGCCGGGCGGGTCGACCGCCAACGGCGTCAAGCTGCAGCTCTGGACGTGCACGCCGGGCAATACGAACCAGATGTTCAAGATCGGGCGCGGCTCCGGGCAGATCGAGTGGAGCGGGAAGGGCAAGTGCGCCGACCTGACCGATGGGGCCCTCAAGAATGGCAATCCCGTGCGTTTTTACAAAAATATTCCTGCACCGAGGAGCTGTGGTTGACCCTTTTGTAGATCCAGATGTGGGATTGCGCGGCTCCGGGTAGCAACCCCAACCAACAGTGGTTCTACTGATGTGGTTGTTCCCGATTATTCGAGGAGGGGATGATAGTACTTCTTACAACTCCTGCGTCATAATATAAAGATCGGACATTTATATGCCAGCTTTTTTTCGACTTGTGTTGTCTGCCTGCTCGTTTACGAGGATTCAACCTCGTCGAGCTCTTGCTTCCCCGCCCCGCTACGTTAGACTCCAAACGAGTTGTGTTGTTCGATAATTTAGGGATATTTGAGACTCGATAGATATAAGGTTAACGGTGGGCGGGTTTATCGAGCGAGGTACGAGCTGGAATCGAGAAAGCATCTGTCTGGAGACGGCAGCTAGCTTTAGCGAATACTGGACGGGTCGGATCCACATCAGACACCGATGGTGAAGCGGTTATCATGCTTGCCTTCCATGACAAATATGTGTGTATTAAGCAAGCGGCAGGGGTTCGACTCCCCTTCGGTGTATATTTTTTCGTTCCTGTATTTTCGGTCAGATATTGTTCTTTGACTCCCCACTGCGCATTCAATTTCAATATTCAATATTGAAGTGGTCATGTTCATCATGCTCAGCAGCTCATATCCGTCGATCGTTCATTTTGAGATTGTGCCACAGTGGCTGTGCCCGGTTTCATTTTGCGTCATCCCTCAATGCCCAATGCGCCGCCACCTAAGGACAAGGTCGTCCTCGACAAGCCGACATTCTGCGGGACCATAACCGAGGCGCGCGTCTCCGCCCGCGAGCGGCGCGAGCGCAAGCCGCAGCCGTGGGCCGTGCGCAAGCTCATGGTGCTCGTTACGCTCGGGATCATGGGATACACCGCGTATGTCTATGCGGGGCGCTTTGCGGTGAGGCTTATGAGCGGGGGGAGGAGGCCTGAGGGAAGTGAGTGTTTATCTATCTATTTTCGGGGGATCGCTGATGAGTGTTCTGTTGAATAGTCGGGCTGCTGGTGGGGTGGAGTATCCTCTATGCGTGGATGCTTTGGGCGTATATCAAGGTGTGCTGCGCCGGCCTTGTGTCTTCTGCAATCCAATTCTAACGCAGACCAGGTAATCCTCACCCCGCCTGGGAATGCCCGCGATGTGCGTCCACCTTCCTCCTCCTACCGCACTCGTTACTTATAAATCAACACAGTACGTCTCCCAATCCCCCCAACCGCTCCTCCCGCCGCAACAGTGGGCGCCGCACGACGCATACCGCAACGGCGACGGCACCAACTCGTTCGAATTCGAGTCGTTCGACAGCAGCCTCGCGGACATCCAGACGGGGCGGATAGGTGGGCCGGCGTATGCGGAGCTCCCTGCGCCCCCTCCTCCTGCGGCGCATGGTTCTGCGCCGAATTCAAATGCGCCGCACGCTCCAAATGGAGTATCGCCGTCTAACGGGGAGCTCCCCCCACCGGCCACCGCGCGCCGCCCCTCCGCGGGACGCCGCCACTCCTCCCGCTCCCGCAGACGTGAAGGAGGAGGAGGAGGAGGCAGACCGCGCGGCCGCCTTCCCCCACCCGCGCCGCTGCTGCCGGCGCACCGCTACTGCACGCGCTGCTCGATCGTGAAGCCGTATCGGGCGCACCATTGTCGGGTTTGTGGGACGGTGCGTATTCCGTGCTATGATATGCTCGTACTGTGCTGGATCTGCGACTCACCCCTCCCCCTCCAGTGCATCCTCAAATTCGACCACCACTGCCCCTGGATCGGCCAGTGCGTCGGCGCGCGCAACCACAAGTTCTTCCTCGCGTTCGCGTACGCCACCGCGATATTCACCATATACACCTTTGGGAGCCTGTTGGCGTTCAACGTGCGGGACGGGGGCGGGGTGGGCGAGACGGATGTGGACCCGCAGGAGGTGGTGATTATCGCGCTGTGAGTCCGTCCGCATGGGAGGGACGAATACGCGAGGAAGAAGGTTGAGCTGACGGATTTATGTTTTCGCAGCGCCGCGCTCTTCGCGCTCTTCACGCTCACGCTCGGCGCGGAGCATACGCGGCTCATTTTGTTGTCGCAGACGACGGTGCGCACCTCTTTTCCATTCGCCTGTCGATTAGAGTCGGAGCTGACTGGTCGTTGCTCATGCTTTTCCTTCTTTCCTCGGTATTGCGGCGTCTCTCACCCCTTGCGCCTCGACTCGAATCCCTCTCACCATCGACTACCAACCCCCGCGACTCTCAAATCGAATCCAATCTCGATCATCGCGCCGTCCACCAGGTCGAGAGCCTCGGCATAAAGCGCGTAAAGGCGCGCGACAGCGCGGGGCTGGATGCGGCGGGGCTGGGGTGCTGGCAGGTTGGGTGCGTTTTGCGTTTTTGTTTCTGTTTTTGTTTTTGTTCTGCGCGTGACGGTGCGAGTGGGAGTGGGAGTGGGAGGGACTCGCGCTGCACTGCGTTGGTATTGAGACTGGGGTTGGGCGTGACTGGGTGGGCGCGGACGCTAGCGCGGTGCCACACACGCGTCTCCGCTTCCCTCGACTTGGGAGCGAGTACCTGCCTCCCTGTCCCTTCCCCGCCTCCGCCCCTGCCCCGTCCTGCTCTCCTTGCCTTCGTCTCACCGTACCGCGCTTGGCCCCACTTTGCACCGCGCCTCCTTGTCTCTCCCGCTTCCTCCTGCACTCCCATTCTCGTCCTCGTCCCCGTCCCGGTACCCGCCCTTAATCCGCTCTACTCCCTCTTCCCTCCCTATCCTCCGCCTCCGCCTCCGCCTCCTCCCTCCCCACTTCCTTCCCCTTGTCCCTCTCTCCCTCCCGCCCTCCCTTCTTTCATTCATCTCCATCTATCCGTACACCTATACTAACCTCCTTTCTCCAGCGCAAAACGCCGCGCGCTCGCGTCCTACGACGCCGAGTGGGGCGCGCCGGACACGGAGGGCAACGTGTGGTGGGCGGGCTCCGCGCGCGCGGGGTGGGAGGACGCGATGGGAAGGGGCGGGCGCGGCGGGCTGGGGTGGGTCTGTGAGTAGTCGATTTTCTTTTGGTGTTTTGGGGATTGTTGCGCGTGCTTATATCGCCCTCCGCACACTTCCCCTCCGTTCCTTTTCCTTCTTTCTCCTCTCCCGCCCCCGGATCTCCCCGCCTTCCCCGCGCTTCCTCCTGCGTCCCACACCCCCTTCTCCCACCAGGTCCCTGGAGTTTCCCCTCCCCGCTTCTTGCTCTCCCACTCCTCCCGCCCCTCCCTCTACTCTGCCATGCCCCCGGCGTCTCGCCCGGCTTCCTATCGCCGTTTACCCATCCCTCCCTCCCTCCCTTCTCCGTCTCTCTCCCTCTGCCTCCCATTCTTCCCCTTCCCCTTCCTTGCCCGCCCCCTTTCCCCTCTTTTCTCCCTCCCCCCTTCTCCGCCCCACACTGACACACCTCCCAGTCCCCATAGGCGCCCCCCTCGGCGACGGCCTGCACTACGTCCCCAACCCGCGCTTCGCGCCGGACGGGCGCCCGCGGAGGCGCGCGGAGTGGCCGGAGGAGTTGCGGTAGCGCGCACGACTTTGCGATTTGGCATTCGTATGCGACGGAAGGGGCGGAGGAGCGCGGCGCGGGGTGGTGAGGAGGGGCGAGGCGGGATAGTGAGACGATTAGCACAACCACACGATTTAATGCACTCGGTGCGCTTATTGCATCGAGACACGGAGGGGAGGGGAACACGGGACTTCACATGAAAGGATGAATGTAATATATTACTTACTTACCGATGACATAGTGCTGCAGGGGAGTCAGAATGACGAATACATCGGAAAGGTGAGAGAATAACTGGGAGGCAGAACATGCGTGGTGCGCAAAAAGAAGATACACCGAAGGGGAGTCGAACCCCTGCCGCTTGCTTAAGGACTCAGTTCCTGATATGGAAGGCAAGCATGATAACCGCTTCACCATCGGTGTCTGCGTACACCCAAGCCCTGCAATGGTTTATATTGGTCCATTGAGCTTTGGTTGAACGATACAATCTCTCCACTGCTGTGAGTTCTGAGATCACGGCCTTGGATCTCGTGATTACATGTAAGACTGTGTCCAAGTGCAAGTTCCAGCAAAGGCCACCTTTATAAATCTGGATCGTATCAGGTGCTGTTGCAGAGTTTTCCAATCTACAACTTTCCAACGACTAACCCAGGAGTTCTTTTGGAAATGTATACTATGGTCGAGGTTGGATTTGACTTTTGACATTTCCAATCCGACAATTCCGTAGCTGGTGTCGGCTATTCAAGTCATGCAAATTGGCTGGTTATGCTCTCTAGGTGCTCGTTAATGGTCTGAACTGGACTCAATATTCAATGCACCAGCAGTTCCAAAACCTGTGTTTTGATTATTTGTCCCTCACGAATAGTCGTCGGCCGAGAGCAACCGATCGGTAATGTTGTCAAATGCGGACTCCGAGATTGCCGTTCAAATTGCCATCAATCTCGGTAGCGCTGTGTTCAAAGTCTGAACTTGAGTTGAATCTAGCTAGAGTTCGAGAATGTGGATGAGTATTACAACATAAAAAATTAACTGAATTCAGCAGGAGACATAACACACCACCAAAATTCAAACATCTTCTATCTATTAACCGACAATAACGGTATCGTGCATCCGATTCCACCTCTGCTGCCGCAATCAAGCCGAAGCCGGTCAAAAATTCGCTAACACACATAACTTTCGTCGTAGGCGATAGCCTGTGCACAGAGGGTATCATATTGCAAGTTAAATCAATATCTTGATTGATATTCTTGCAAAGCTCATGCTCCTAAGCAAGAGTTTGTAATCTCAGGCCCCGGCCTATTCTCGGCATTCGGCCAAAATATTCTCACGCTTTGGGCTTATGCACGGAGCAATGTTTCTCGTTCCCGTGAGCCTCCATTCAGCCCGCCACGGCTGGTATATGCCGGCAGGAGAGTTCTCCGTAGCATATGTGGTCTGCTCATTCTGCATCTCCTTTCAGCGATTACCGTAATATCAAATGTCGCAATCTAACCTCGACCATCCCGCCTACCGTATGTATACACAATACATTCAGAGTCGGTGATTTTTGGAGTCATATAAAGAACTCAGAAATAAAAGGTATTTGCCACACATGCAGTGTTCCTGAATCTCTGGAGCACATTGCATTGGAGTGTGGTGCACCAGGTCAAAAGCTGATCTGGCTTTTCACCCAACAACTTTGGACACTGAAATATGACCGATGGCCTGATCTGAACTGGGGATTGATACCAGGATCCAACCTTGTAAAATTTAAATCACCCCAAGAACAGATCATCCATGTGAAAGGAAGACTATTTGCAGTTCTGGTATCATCTGCATGGCACCTGATTTGGAACCTCAATGTCAACCATGTCATTGCAAATCCAGACAGAATATTAACTTCAACAGAAATTTATAACCAGTGGTTGAACACTATAAACTGTGCATTACAGTGGGACCGCCTGTTGACAGACAAAGTCAGATTTGATTCTTTAGCTTTGAATAAACAACTGATGCTAAGCACGTGGAGTGGTCTACTCCTGGATGAGGACTCACAGCCAGATGACTGGACAAAAGAGGGGGTTTTAGTGGGTATGCGACCCATCATTGATCAACATGGGATAGGATAAATTGTATTTTCGGGTCGGAGTCCCACACTGGTTTAAATAATTGTGCGTAATGGCATTTCCTCCTGAGCAAACTTCCCCGGCAATGTCTGGTCCACCACCAGCAACACAAGTGGATGACCTTGGAATGCTTCTGCAGACTAAGTCTCATTATCCCAAACACTCCAAAAAGAAAAAAGAGAGAGAGAGATCCCCGTAACCTTACGGGTTTACGGGCCGTACGGTTACGCCCCTGTCCCGTCGACCTCTAGACGGTCAGACGGGTAACGGCACGGGGTGGGGCGTAATGTGGCACCCGTAACCCTGCGTTTACGCGTGAATTACGGGTGGCGCCTGGCGGGCGCCTGGCGGGCGCAATTGTTATTGTCGATTGCTTGCCGAGGTTCGCCATCCGCTTGCTTGGATGGCGGTGGAGTCGGCTATCGACTCCTACGACAATTGACAGTCTCCGGAGCCTTCGGCAGGCCGTGAGGTGCATGTCGGACGTGTCCGAAATTCCGCTGACCTGCCGAGAAATGGCCTCGACGCATCCCAGACGCACCTGGATTCCTGGAAGTTGTTCAAGTTTCGGACGGTTCATAACCGTAGGTAACGTATTTCACACAAATATAGTTCATAACTCGCTTGAAATCTGTCGATTTGGTAGGATCACTCGACCACCCGTAAATTACGCCCGTCTGAACCCTCCGACATGCCGACTTACGCACGGCTATCCCGTAGGCCAAATACGGGGGTAATCTTTACGCCCGTAGGCATATTACGCACGGTTTGATGCCCTACTGTATATAAGTTCAGACAGTGTCCTTCCATGTCAGTCTGCCGGTGCTCAGACTTACACCTCGTTCAACTCGTCGTCCCGGAATGTCTTTCCGCCATCTCTTGAAGCAGACTATTAAATTGGGCCTCTTTGCCGTAGTCGCCGCGTCGCCGTTGTCGGAGCGCGCCGTCATCGATTCAGATGCAGTCGTGGGGTTTTTGCAGACAGTTCCCGCCAGTACAGCCGGTAGCGTGTATCTGGCGTATAAGCCGCACCTGGAGGTCGTGAACGGCTGTGTCCCCTTCCCCGCAGTCGATGCTGCAGGGAACACGGGGTACGTGCCACCACCCTCCATTCAGAAACCGCGCACTGATTCGCCGCCCTAGCGGCGGCCTGAATCCCACGGGCGCGACCAACGGCGGCTGCAGCATCAGCACCGGGCAGGTGTACGTCCGCAGCGGCACCTCCAACGGGCGCTTCGGCCTACTCTACTCGTGGTACTTCCCCAAGGACGAGCCGAGCGACGGGCTCGGTCATAGAAATGATTGGGAGGGTGTTATTGGTGCGGCGCCAGAACTACAGCTCGTTATTGGCACTTATCTCAATCTGAAAGTATGGCTCGCCTCGTCCACGAGTACCAGCGCCGCGAACATCCTCGCCGTGTGCCCATCCGCGCACGGTGGCTGGAATTGCAGCACCGACGGCTTCTCGCTCACGGGGACGAGCCCGCTGATCCAGTACGAAAGCATCATCCCGATGAACCACGCGATGGGCCTCACGACCACCGTGGGCAGCACGCAGCCGCTCATCGCGTGGGAGAGCCTCCCTGCGGCAGCGCAGGCGGCGTTGCAGACCACAGACTTTGGAGTGGCCACCGTGCCGTTCAAAGACAGCACACTGGCGTCTAACTTGGCGGCGGCGACGTTCTAACTTGAGATTCTGGGCAGGAGGAAGATACCCGACTTGAACGGTCTTGTAGCTTCATGTCGTTGTTGAATGCTTGTAAAAACAAATCGTTCTCCGAAGTTGGCCCCACTAGTCCAGGGTGGCCGTGAAGTCTGCTCGGTGGCGATTGACAGTGACTGACGCTGAGGACGTCTGGTGGATCGTGACACGGCAGTGATGTTGTTCGGCTTTGTTCGGATCGAAATATCGATCCTTTGATGTGATCTCTCTCTTTCAACCTTCAACTTTTATTCCTCTTTGAATTCGATTACCAAAATAACGCAATTCAGTCTGTTTCTAGGCCGAAAGGAGAATGGGAGTCGCAGAACCACTATGATGATTCGCGAGAAAGAAAGATGGGAAAAAGACCAGTCATGTCCTCGGTGGGTGAACTGAGCCACAGCACAGCCAATAAGAGTGAATTAACACACTCCATGAATACTTGCAACAGGACTGACTGGAGGGCTGGAAGAGGGCTTCTCAATATCCACCAAGCTGACTAGCAATATTGGCCCGATCCGATGCGAGCCCGTTGCAAAAATTCAGTCCATGGAATCTTAGAATCACAAGATTTCGGTATATGTGTGTAGCTCAGCAACACCCGCAGTTCAGGGTTTAGAACTCTACTAATATTTGTGCCTTTAGGCCCATACTTGTGGTAGAAGCCAGTAGTGGGAGCAACATTTGAGCATAGCAAGTTTCGCTAAAATCCGACCGGACCAGATGAAACCCACAGGGGACTGGGTAAATTACATGTGCCCCAGTGGTTTTCCTTGCCCCCAGGGTTGGATTATTTTCGGTGGAGGTTATAGATGGTAGGATGCGCCCTGGTGACTTGAAACTATCTCTCGGAGGGATATTGATCCACGGTGAAAAGATGGGGAATAGAATAATCCCTAGGAAGCAGACAATTTTTGCGACATGGTTTGCTGCAGACATTACTACCGAATCCGAAAAGACCTAAGGGTTTGAACATAAATTTCAAGAGTTATAGACCAAGTTACGACAGGGAGGTGCCGTTAATAGAATATTGCTAGGAACACCGGTTCGAGATGAATCATGGAATACAGTAAGTAAACGGTGACTGCGTCCAGGAACGCATCATGATTGGAATCAGTAGTGTCAAATTTCAATGATCGCCAAGACAGAAGATGTAGCTTTCTCAGGCTCTCTCTCTCCATCTGCCAAAGCCACGTCCCGCTCAATAGGTACTCGATACTGATCTGAGTCTGGGTGAAAACTATCCAGCTCATCTATTGTGTCCAAATGGGCTCGTTGCCCGGCAAACAGCAGGCCTCGGAGTACAGCATGTTTCGTTTATTCAAGGAGACGTTCAAAGTGATAGGTCTGTACCTCACCGTCTTCGAGTCTAAGCGTATAGAAGTACTGAGTCCGTGTCTCAGAGGAATCCGTTGTCCAACTTTCCCAATCGTTGCCGGGTTCGGACGCCAGCATCAGCAAGCGTGCTGTTGAATTACACAACCGGGCTGTAGAGCTCTCGAAGGCGGGCCGCCGCCAAGATGCATTGCGAGTCAATACAGAAGCAATTGGACTTCTTCGGGAGCTGGCGCCGGGACACCCCGCATCCGCTAACATCCTTGCGAGGACATTGCGCA